TAACACAACGCTACGGCAGGGATCTGTTACATATCTTGAGTATATGCAAGTTGGCAAAGGACGTGATGTAGGACTCAACCAGATCTCCAAGTTTGAAGCAAAAGTAGCAAATGGAAACAGTGAACAAACAATTAGTCGAGACATATACCGCCTCGGTCATCGATTTGATTTCTTTCGGATGCTCTCTTTTTATTTCACTACAATAGGGTTCTACTTTAACAGCCTGGTAATAGTCGATTCCCCAAACTCTCCCCTCAATTGCTTTTCAACTATAGAAATTCCATTAGGTTTGATTTTTATGCTTCAAAGATTGGCCTGCTTCTGATTTGTTGCAACCTTGTTGAGAAAAGAATATTTTTCCTATGATATTAAAGCTGTGCCAAGAGCCATAATCTAGACAAATTATTAGGGGTATTTCCTATAGTATTACTAAAGCAGAATTCATTGCGAAAAAATGGCCACACGGTCACTGCAAAAAGACTACTATGGTTATTGCATAGTAAAATTGAATGACACCATGTTCACCAAGTCACTTTGAAAACACATCAATGGTCTCATTGTGCATTAAAAGTTATGTTTATCCTAATCATATACTACGTATTATTCATTATTTCAAATTATTATTAACCTTACTTTTATCATTATTGTGACAAATACATAAATGCAGATATCAGTGATAACAATATATGTGTTCCTTTACGGGCAGTTATATCTAGTCCTGAGTGGTCTTCAGAGAGCAATAGCTGTCGAGGAAAAAGAACAAAACCTAAAACCACTTGAAACAGCTTTGGCATCACAGTCCTTTATCCAACTAGGTCTCTTGACAGGTTTACCAATGGTGGTAGAGATTGCACTTGAGCATGGTTTGCTAAATGCACTTAAAGATTTTGTGCTAATGCAACTTCAGCTGGCTGCTGTGTTCTTTACATTTTCATCTGGTACAAAAGCCCACTACTATGGTAGAACAATCCTCCATGGGGGTGCCAAGTATAGGCCCACTGGGCGAAAGGTTGTGGTTTTTCACGCAAGCTTCACTGAGAACTATAGGTTATACTCGCGGAGCCACTTTTTGAAAGGATACGAGTTGATTCTTCTGTTGGTGGTTTATGATCTGTTTAGACGTGGATATGAAAACACAGTGGTTTATGTTCTAATTACGTATTCGGTGTGGTTTATGTCAATGACTTGGCTGCTTGCTCCGTTTCTGTTTAATCCCTCTGGATTTGAATGGGGAAAGATAATGGATGACTGGAAAGACTGGAACAAGTGGATACACCAGAAAGGTGGTATAGGAATCCAACAGGACAAAAGTTGGCAGTCATGGTGGTACGATGAGCAAGCTCATCTTCGCCATTCTAGCCTGGTTTCCCGTTTTTTTGAGATACTCCTTTCTCTGAGGTTTTTCATTTACCAATATGGATTGGTCTATCACCTAGACATCTCTGGGGACAACAAAACTTTCATTGTTTATTTGCTCTCTTGGGTGGTCATTCTCTTGATTTTCATTTTGGTCAAGGTATGCACTTCCATCTTATATTTCTCTTGAACCTGCAATAATTCTCCTCCCTATGAAATATTAGCGCATATATGTGTTAAATGAAAAATTATATAAGTATTTTTAAGAAACTACCCATTGGGAAAAAATGTTAAATATAAAATTTCGGAGAAACATGTTGCCAATAGTCAACTGACACTGACAAATTGAAGCAATTGGTCAGTATAGTTGGTAACTGCTTTGCTACTTCTTTGAAGGAAAAGTCACACATGTTAAATTTAAAGGCTTCTTAGACCCCATTTGGTATCATGAGTCGGGTAATTATGCTGATAACCTTAAAGTCTTCTTTGCTTGACTGAAACTGATTTTGCCAAATGCCTTTCCTTAGAGAAAGTTTACTGGTTTCATCCATTTAAGCACAAACAGTCTTACCAGACAGGCTCTTAATTGATACCATTCTTTTATAGTTTGTTCGCTTAAGTTGCTTGATCTTTACCTTTTTGTTTGATTTTTTTTTTTTTGCTTAGAATGTATCAGACAAACTGAATGAATGAATGATATGACAATGATGTGTATAGGCAGTCAGAATCGGGAGACGATTTCTTAGTGTTGAATACCACTTGGCCTTCCGGTTCTTCAAAGCGCTTCTTTTTGTGGGAGTTATAGCTATAATCATAACCCTTTCATACGTCTGTGATCTATCCGTTAGAGATTTGATAGTCTGCTGTTTAGCATTTCTACCAACCGGATGGGGATTGATAATGGTAACAACAGTATAAATATTTCATATGATTTCATCACTGAACACACTGTAAACTTTGATGATAAATATCTTTACTTTCTCTCTATCATACCATTTCTCAGGTTGCACAGGTTGTGAGACCATTGATTGAAGGAACGGCGGTATGGAATTTCACTGAGGTTTTTGCTCAAGCTTATGATTATGGAATGGGAGTTGTTATCTTTGCTCCTTTAGCTTCCCTGGCATGGATGCCTATAATTTCTGCCTTCCAAACGCGCTTCCTTTTCAATGAGGCCTTTAACCGCAGCCTGCAGATTCACTCTATTCTCTATGGGAAGAAGAAAAGCAAATGAGTTCATCCAAGCGCAACTTGATATATTTGATGCACATCATTCTTGTGCACCTCTTTTTAGGCAGCATCTAGTATAGATCATTCAGGAAAGCGGCATTCTTTAATGTGCAGTCAAATTTTGTTCCTGAACATAGATAGCTGAATAAGATTTATATTGAATTTGTAAACGAGTCACCTTGAGATGTTTGATATACATAAATAAAGCAAAACAAAGTTTAGTTTAAAGCCTACTCTTCTAACATGAATCTAGAAATCTAGAATCGACTAGCGCTCTCAAATAACTGTACACTTACTATACAATCATTTACACAAATAACTGCAAAACCAGGAATTTAAGAACGAAACTACCGAACACTTTTATATAAAAGCAATAGCCATATGCATTTACCCTACAATTACCACACAATTTGAATACATTTACCATATTATATAATCATCACATATACTTATCAAAACAAAATTCTCAAAATGTAGTTACCAAACACTTCAGAGCACAAGGATGACCATAATGCATTTACTCTACAAATGTTTTAAAATTGTGATACTTTTACCACACATTTACATCCTCATAATTGCATTGCAACACAACATAGGAAGGATCATAGCAACACTACCAATAGGTGTTCAAAATTCACTTCCATTGTAGGAGAGTAAGAATGATAGTTTAAAGAGCATACCATGGGTGTATGGCAAAGGGGAGGAACAACTACTTCAACTACCATCTTTTCATGCAACTTTTGAAATCCCGACAATACGAATAAGTAGAAGTGGTAACGGTAAAAAATGGGGCGATTTAAGAGCAGTGTGATGAGACACATCTGCTAACTTGATCTTTGCTACTTCTCCATCTTGGTGGGCGAGATAGAATGTTGGAGGTGAAATGGAAATAGTTGAAATGATGTTTGTACACATTTTGTGTAGACATCTCGTACGTGTAGATCAAACCGGGTCACATATATTTATTACAATATTACCCATCAAATATTACGGTCAGCGATATGTTCCGTTACTTGGGCTCCATAATTCAGAAGGACGGTGAGTTAGATGGAGATGTATCCCATAGAATCAGAACAGGGTGGATGAAGTGGAAGAGTGCGTCAGGATTTCTATGCGACCGAGGTATGCCGACTAGACTGAAGGGTAAATTTTATAGGACAGCAATTAGGCCTGCATTACTGTATGGCGTAGAGTGTTGGGCGGTGAAACAATGTCACATTCATAAGATGAGTGTGACAGAGATGCGCATGCTGCGTTGGATGTGTGGGCATACTAGGAAGGACCGCGTGAGGAATGAGACAATCAGACAAAGGGTGGGAGTAGCACCTATTGAAGACAAGATGCGGGAGTCGCGTCTACGGTGGTTTGGTCATGTGCGTAGAAGACCGAGTGATGCACCTGTTAGGCGAGTTGAGATGTGTGGACAAGAGGCAGGGAAGAGAGGGAGAGGAAGACCCAAACAGACGGGTTAGGGGAGTTCGACGTGATATGCTTTTTCTGGGGTTGGATGAGGGCATGACTTTGGAGAGAACTAAGTGGAGGGCGGGTATTCACGTGAAGGAGTGATCTTGATAATTTTTTTTCCTCATCTTTTTTTTCGTAGTTTTTTTTTATCCTTATATATATATATATATATATATATATATATATATATATATATATATATATATATATATATATATATATATATATATATATATATATATATATTTATAAGCATTATTTGCAACCTTTTTATTTTATCATTTATATATATATATATATATTCATCTTTTTTATATTATCTTTTCATAATAGCTTATCTTTTTATCTTTATTCCTTCTTTTCCTTTTGGTTGTGATATCATGTATCGATTCATGTTAGCCGACCCCAATATCTTTTGGGACTAAGACTTGGATGTTGTTGTTGTTGTACCCATCAAATAAGGTCATAGACAATTGTATGTCTGTATGAAGAAAATTCATCTATAAATCATGAAAAATCTACACACAAAATTAAAAATAACGTGTCGTACATAATGTTTGCATACTCACAAACATTAGTTTGCGTGCTAGTATGTTTACTTTGAACATATACCTACTATATCTATGTACCACCAGAGGCCATGTTTATAATCATAATTGTATAGTAGGAGTGACTCAATAAAATAGGAATATGAAAATGATTCATTGTTGCTTACTTTCAAGTCCGGTCGTTAGTAAATAGGAATAATTCATTTTAATAAAAATGTAATAGCTTATACTACCTCCGTTTCGTTAACATTGAAACGGGGTCACATGATTTTAAAGGAAAGTCAGTTTTTGATATTGAATTGATAAAGTAAGAATTAAATAAAAATAATTTAGAATTATACAAAATTTAACAAATTTGATAAGACAATTTAATGAGATTTTCTTATTAATAAAATCTCACTAGAAAGAAATACTCTAATCTATCTCTCAGTCAGTCACTCTCCCATAGCAAACTTCTTGAAAACAAGGATCACGCAGATTATGCTTCGAATTTCCTTGTTCCATGCTCCCTCTCATTTCTCCTTTCTTCTTCCGAAAGTACAGAGCGCAGTTCTCCTTCGCTCACCAATCTCGGCCTCCACTCAACGTCGTTCACAGATAGCTTCTTATACGACGACGTCTTCTGCTATGGGATCCCAGAACAAACTCCTCTTCCGTCAGCTCTTCGAGAAGGAGTCATCTACCTACACTTACCTTCTTGCCGATGTTCTCCACCCTGAAAAGCCTGCACTGGTAACAAATTCTATGTTCTTTTTTTAGTTGCAATGCTCCCATTTTCACAATTTTAACCTTTGTTATATTTAATTCTCTATCAGTAAAATAAAATAAAAAATCAAATTATGAAAATTTATAATGAAAATATTTCAATAATATTTTTTAAAAATAATACTCCGTAATTCTTGTACATTAATAAATTAAATACGGTCAAAGTAGAGCATGTGAATAATGTAAAATTTTCCACCATGTTTCAACTGATTCAACTGAAAAGAAACGGAGAATAGTGTTAGTTTTCCAAAGTTTAATTTGGGGTTCTTTTTATAAATATGATACTGTAGGAAGAACATATTTTAGATATGAGTACTGTGTATCTACTCCTATTATTAATATTGTTTCATTTTTCAGTTTTAGGCAGTTTTTTTTTTCAGTTTTAGGCAGTTTTTTTTTCAGTTTTAGGCAGCTTCTTGTTAGCTTTTAATTTTATGTTTCTTATAGAATGTTGCATGTAATTTCTGATCTGTTTAAGTTTGGTAGGGTGAGGTGAAGTTTTAGTTAAAGTGTATATTACTATTGTCTAAGACTCTAAGTCTAGTCTCGTCGGTTTTAGTACATAGTTTAAATTTGATCTGGTTTGGTTTATGTTTAAGTTTGGTATGGTCTAAGTGACTAAGTGAAAACATACGAGTTTGCTTTGACTACTTTTTAAAGAATCAATTCTAGTGTGTATTGACAAGGTCAGACAAGCCATTAATTCCAACATGAGCTTTTCATTAAGTCTCTGTTGTGTGGAATTCATTGATCCAAAAGATATGACCACTCATCACTTCCCTTCTCTCCCGTTTGTTAGATCCAGTCCAAGGACGAGCTCAAGCGTGTGTGCTCTTAACACGTGTGTGGTTAGTTTTTGTTGGATTATTCCTCAATCCACCCACTTCAGTTCTCACTGAGTGATTTGAGTCAGGAGCAAACAATTCATATGGTGCAGTCCATTAAGATTAAAATGAGGATTTGTATATGCATATTATGGAAATACATATATATTTATATTAAACAAAAATGTGTGTGTGTATGTAACATTATAGGAACTCTCAGTGAGGTCCATCCATGTATTGCTGCTTATAATTCACTTATTAAACTAACCTCTGTTTCCTTCTGCATCTCTTTCATTTGGCTGTCAGTTCATTTAAGGCAACTAATGATATAAATGCAGTTGATTGATCCAGTCGACAAAACAATGGATCGGGATCTTTCACTTGTTAAAGAATTAGGATTGAAGCTTATTTATGCTATAAACACGCATGTACATGCTGATCACGTAACTGGCACTGGTTTGATCAAGGTTGGTATTTGTTTTCCCAGCGCGAAGCTTGCTCCGTGTTTTGTGTTTTTATTGTTGATTGATTTTATTCGTATTTTGCAGTGTAAGGATCCTAGTGTAAAATCTATCATCTCCAAAGCAAGCAATGCAAGTGCTGATCTTTTCGTTGAACCTGGGGACAAAATCCATTTTGGTGATCTTTTTTTGGAGGTAAAGAATGATTATTCTCAGCGAGTGCATAACACTATATTTTTTTCTGGAGTTCGGACAAAATTAATTGGATATATGGATAGCATATGATATTATTATTTTTTCGCCAAATATTTTGACACGGGTATTTTTTCTTAATTTAGATGGACATATTTTTTTTAGTTTTGGGGCACCCTGGAGATGCTTTTTTGCCTTTACAAACTAACCATGGAGAGGGGGATGTTTTAGATTTCATTCTATACTAATGATTAACATATTTTTGTGAGGACTAGCAGCCTGCAACTGGGTGATGTGACCACAGACGTGAAGTAGTTCATTCATTTAGCACCCATTAGGGAGAATGTTGTCTGAAGCAATGAAAATATCCCCCCCTCCCAACTCTGAAGATTCGAAGAATGTGGATCCACTGATCCAGCCATTGTAGCATTTTGTTTCCCTAGAGGCTGAGCCTTTCTTATCCTCTTTTTTTCCCTTTATCTTCTTTTTCTTTCTTATGTTTTTTATCCTTAAATATATATTCCTTTTATCATTTTTATCTCAATTTATGTATATCTTATCTCTATTTCATGTTATCTTTTTTATCTTCTTTTATCATACCTTATCTTTTTTCTTTCATCTTATCTTTTTTTCCCTTTTGGCTCCGATATCATGTATCGATTCATGTTGGTCGAACTCAAAATCTTTTGGAACTAAAGCTTGAATGTTGTTGTAGATGCTGAGCCTTTGTATCTTCTCTGTGCTCTATCCTTTAAAAGAAAACCTTTGTTGTAGGTACGTGCCACCCCAGGGCACACATTAGGTTGTGTCACCTATGTTACAGGAGATGGCTCCAACCAACCCTACCCACGAATGGCCTTCACTGGTGATACCCTACTGATCCGTGGATGTGGAAGGACAGATTTCCAGGTACTGTCCCTCGAAGTAGTGTGATAGTGTCTCACTGATTGCAAAGCAACTAAAAAACCCCTTGTCAAGAGTTGTCTAAATGAAAAGAAAAAATGCAGTGGTGCACAACTGGGAAACATGAAATTACTTTTTTTTTAGAATTAATGGTTACATGCAATTTGAATTTTCAAGTACACTGTACTTATGTATCTCCATCCTACAAATGCCTATTACCATGCTCAATTTTCCTGTTACTTTACCAAGTACTTTACTACTTTTACACCTCAAATACTGCTTAGTCTTGTTATAGTATACATAAATGCTGGTATTATGATCCTAACAAAATCTTCATGCTTCGACATGAAATGAGTTTTTTTTATATTAAGCTGTATTCATTTTGAGTAATCATATTATTGCAGGGTGGAAGCTCAGAGCAGCTGTATAACTCAGTACACACACAGGCAAGGGCGCAATCTTTACCTGCAATCTGCATAGCAAGGAGTAAAGCTTACAGCTAATTGTGATGTCACATCCCTTTCTTATGTCCTTATTTCATTCCCTTTTTCGTTTACCTTCTTTGTGATCACAGATATTTACATTGCCAAAAGATACTTTCGTGTATCCAGCTCATGACTACAAGGGATTCACTGTAATGACATCTTTCGTCTATTCTCTTTTTCGGTATCCAAATATAAGAGCGCCTCGTTATGTTTTGTTTCCTTTTCAGGTCAGTACAGTCGGAGAGGAAATACTATATAACCCGCGCCTGTCAAAAGATAAGGTAATTTTTCTACAGAACAATGTATCATATAAGAAATTTAGTTTTTCAAATGTTTCTCTTCATAGCTTGGATAACCTTGAGTGATTTGCATGATCTTGTACCATATTTTTGCAGGAGACATTCAAAGACATTATGGCAGGTGAGTACCCTAGGTATTCATATGTTGGGCCAAACCCATCATTAAGCCTCTTAACTTGGCTTGTTGGCTGTCCGTATTGAGCACCCTCTGGCAAACTTAATCCCAAACTGGACTGGACGTGACCAGTATTTTGCACTGCTGTGGTTAAAAAACATATTAATCTATATGTATAAAAATGATAATGTATAACTTTTGATAAGGTGAAAAAGAAATTGAGAAAAATCATAACTCATCAGAAACACCCCAAATTGCGCCAGAGTGAGATATGGAGAGTTTGGAGAAGTTTATAGCTCCTCTACTTGGCCCTTCCACCCCCTCCCCTGCCTTCCAGTGCCCTTTCTAGCAAACAAGGGCTCAGAGAAGCATTGAACAATTTAAGTTATGACAGAAATGGGAGGGAGATGCAAAATATGCTCAATAGACCTTAAGTTTGTCCCTGACTTGCTCAATAGGCCCCAATTGAAAGCTGATTGGCTTAATGGGGACAAAGGATCAAGATCCAGGGCTCACAAGGTTTTGATATAAAAGGTTGGGTAAGACATTCTCTGTACTCTTTTTTTAAGTACAAAAGATGAGGTTATGGGTAAATGACAGGTTTGAAGTTGTCGTATCCAAAAATGATGGATGTTGCTGTTCCTGCTAACATGGCCTGCGGCTTGCAAGAGACCAAACTATAAGCTGTGCATTCATGTCACCTATCATCATAACCCTGAGGCTGTGTTTATTATAGAGGTGATTGCACTATTAAGGAAGCGGAAGTAGTGAATTGAAATTTTTATTAAGGTTGATATCCTACATTCAGATGTCATAGAAGGATCTACTCTCCAGCAGTTACTTGGCTGACATTTAAGCTGGCACCAATACATTGTTACTATAACGTTGTATCTACTTTTTCTGGGTGATTTTTTACTGAAAAGGACAATTATAGTTATTTTATACTATCGTATCGTATATATTTTTATTCTATTAATAAAATGTACTTTAAACAAATGAATTTATTACTCAACATATTGGATTTGTTTTTTTTTGAGGTAAAACCGATCAACTATCATTAATTAAATCATGAGCCAACATGTTGCAGATACATAATGGTGGTTGTGAAATCCACATTGCATGATCAGACATAGAACCTGCCGCTCTAGCTAGACTGTGAGCAACACGATTCGCAGACTGTTTTACATGACTAAAAGAAATACAAGAAAAACTGGCCACCATAGTTTTAATATCCTCAATGAGCAGTCTGAAACTTGAATTTCCGATCCCTGCTTGGATGCTTGAAATGACCTGACAAGCGTCGGACTCAATTTCAATGTTATCCCAACCTCGTGCCATAACCCAGCTCAGCGCTTCCCTTATGCTTAAAGCTTCCGCCTCTCGCGGTAGATATTTCCCCCGCCTCGGGATAGCCTCCCCGCTAGAAAAGCTCCTGTGGAGTCACGTGCAATCCATCCCATGCCGCAGCCCCCTCCCCTTTGTTTCACCGATGCATCCGTGTTGATCTTTATAGTGCTCCCTAGCGGTTTTCTCCATAGCAGATCACGAGCACCTCTTCCTGGCAGCAGCTTTTTCTCAAACTCTTGTGCTCGTCTCCAACTAGTAAGAAAAGAGGACGCTTGGTTGATTACTTGCTCTACCAATGCTTTAGCACCCTTCCAAACTTTCTGATTTCGGGCGTCCCAAATCTCCTAACATGTCATGATTAGTCTGTTGCATTGTTCCTCGTTCGAAGCTGAAAAAATAGATTCTACCCACGCTAAGAACGAGGCATTCACACCTAGATTTGCTCTCCAGTGAAGTTTGTTCCACACTTCTTGTGCCAGCCGACACCTGCAAAACAAATGTTCTATAGTTTCCACTTCATCTACGCACCAGAAACACAAAGGACTTACATTCACATGTCTGCTTCTCAGTTTATCCTTCGTAGGTAAATAGCCCCCACAAAGGTGCCAGAAAAAGGACTTCACTTTCGGAGGAATACTGAGATTCCATAGTCGACCCCATCCCATCCATCCAACACTATCAAACTCCCCCACCAGAGCCCGATAGCAGTTCCTGACCGAGTATGCACCAGATGCCTCCCATGCCCAGTACATCTTATCAGTCACCCTCCGGTTGCTCAAAGGAATACTATAGACCAACTCTTGATCTTCTTGCATTAAGATGTCATTAACAATATCGCTTTCCCACCTCATTTCGCCTACAGTAAACAGTCCTTCCACCCTAAAATTTTCTAAGCCTTGCCAAACCTCCGTTCTAATCATAGGATTCTCACCCGGTAGCCACGGGTCTTTCCAGACCTTAATAGTTTTACCATCTCCCACCCTCCATCTGTACCCGCGGTGAATTATTTGCTTGGCCTCTAATATGCTCCTCCATATAAATGACGGGCAGCTTCCCAACTTGGACTCTAAGAATGAGCCGTTCGGATAATATTTTGCACGAAATATACGGGCAACTAGAGACTCTGGTAGAGCGAGCAATCGCCAAGCTTGTTTCCCAAGCATTGCGATATTAAACTCTCTTAGCCTTTTAAACCCCAGGCCCCCCTTTGCTTTCGGTCTACATAACGAGCCCCATTCACACCACTTAATACCACGTTCAGAGCCTCCTGTCCATCAAAAACGATTCATCAATCTTTCAATTTTTGTACATAGATCGTTTGGCAAAAGAAAAACCTGCATGGAAAACATAGGCATCGCCTGCACCACAGATTTTAACAATACTTCACGTCTCGCCTTTGAAAGGAATCTATTTTTCCAACTGTGTAGCCGAGTAAAAATCTTATCTCGAATGAAGCCCAATATCTCCTTCTTTTTTCGGCCAACAAGAGACGGCAGACCCAAGTACCTGTCTTCTGTAACAGCATGTCCAACTCCAAGCATATCAACAATACCTTCACGATATCCGAGACCAACATTAGAACTGAAATTAACGGAGGATTTTGAGAAGTTTATGACCTGCCCGGATGCTGCCCCATACTCCGCTAAGACACCCCGAATCACTGAACAGTCCCCATGTGAGGCCCGAAAGAATAATAAAGCATCATCTACGAACAGCAGATGTGTCACCCCTGGAGCTTTCCTTGCAATAGATACCCCCTGTAATCTGCCCATCAACTCCTCCCTTCTCAGAAGTATACTCAGCCCTTCCGCCACAATAATGAAAAGGTAAGGAGATAGGGGATCCCCTCGTCTCAGTCTCTGATAGATGCCCGTGCATCGCACGGGCTTGAAAGCTAGTAAAAAATAAGAACAAAAGGATGGGAAAAAGAATTAAAAAGTGTCTAGATAAAAATAAAGAAAGAAAAATTTTAGTGAGAAAAATGAAACATGAGACCGTTTTGAACAAATTTGTGAAAGCTTAACTTATTTATGTAACATTTCCAAAGAGATAAACAACCTGGTATAGTAGGTCATCAATCGGTCATTGTCCAATAAAAAAATGGATGCAAAAATGAAATAATTCCGAGATTATGTAAATGTGATATTATTATAAGAAGATCGGTCAAAAATAAAATTATTTTTGTCAGATTTTCCAATACCTAATAACGTAAGCTCTTTACCCCAATAAATAACAATTTTATAAATCTCTTATACAGAGTTTGGTTTTTCCTTTTCATTTCTCCCTTGCGTTTTTTTGATTTGCTTTTCCTTGTCTTTTTAACTTCATTAGACTGTCCGCAATGCATCGGTGAAAAAGCCTTCTTTACACTTCTCATCCACAAAATAAAAATTCCTTTTGTACACCTTCTTATACACATCAGTACACCTCGTGTCTGTGAGAGTTTTTTTTGTTTGTGAATCCCAGTTCACAGACAAAAACTACTTGTTTTGTCTGTGAAAAATTCTACAGACCACTGAAACAAATGAACACATGATGTTCTTCCTAATGTGTCTATTTAGCCTTTGGGTTGAAGAAGAGGATTATCAGCCCCTTTCAAAATTTTAATGAATCCCCTTTTTTTGTAATGAGATCCTGATGGTTTTTTTCACTTGATCATGAAAAAGCAATTATTCTCTTTCTGAGTGCCATATGATTAGATTTAGGCCACACTTGTTAATCAATACATAGTATAATTTGAAGAGGTAGTACAAACTCGCACGGGTAGCTCAGTTGATCGGGTGGTGGGAGATTTGGATCAATGGATCAAGATTCGAATCCCCGCAGCGACCAGGTGGACGTCACAGAACCTGAAATAAGGTCGGGCCTCTGGTGCGCACGAATGTATGGACCTACTGTCATTCTGCTGACTGAATCATCGTGACTAACCTCCCACCATCCTGTCAGATCAAGGGGCTCCTGGGGTGGGAGATTCCAACCTTTTGGATCAAAGAGGTAGTACAAAGTAATGGTTAGAACATTAGATTGTTAGAGAAACTAGAAATGGTTCCTACTTTCTAAGTTTCTAGAAGTACTTTCATCTGAAATTTGAAATGGTGCAAGGCATCTTTAATTTGGAGCAGCAGTAAATCTGCCAGTAAGATAAGATCTCGGATAAAAGTGAGTCCCTTCCGGAACATCAGATAAAATTGGAACGATATAAAGAAGATTATCATGACCTCTACACAAGTCAAGAAATGGTGATTCGATAAAAGTCAATCATATTTTAACACAAGTGTTAGTTTTGCTTTGTTTTTTTACTTGACGTTATACTATCTATATTAGAGTAAATACATGCATATGCAGATTTCAGTTAGAAGTTGTTCACATCTAGATAGAATATTTCTGAAATATTTTCACCACATTTCAGATTAAAATTCAAACGAGAAGTTGGTTAAATAAATTACTCATATTTACTTAATAAACAAACGAGAATAGTATTAAAAAACACTGCATTGTATACTTATATATTGTATACCTATATAAAATGCACAATTTTCAATATTATTTGGATCTTTCTATGATACCGGTACATTTTCTTAAATAGCCCACTAAAAAAAATAGACGTGTACATTTCTTGCAATTGAGTCCTTTCTACAAATCGAAGTAGATTTGTGCAAAGGCCAAAGTTCTTCCAACTGAAATTCCTCATGTAAACCCCTCCGCTTAAAGCGCACAGGCGGCGCTCAGCGGCATAACAATTCTCGGCAAACACAGGCAGCTCCTCAACGGCGAAATTTAGTTTGATAACCACCTCTCTCTCCTTCCCTAACTTACTCGGCGACTCTTCTTTCTCACCGCTTCAGTATTTCTACATCCTATGCAACCTTGATGGGTCTGCGGGCATGACATACGCATAATCGTAGATTACTACGGAGTAATTAATTTTCCAGATGATGATGTGTCATAATTTGATTCGCTTACAAAACTTGGGTACAGGTGCATTCTAAATTAACAAAGGCACCGTTTAATTTTTCATGCTCCCTCTGTCCCAAATTGTTTATTTTTTGGTCAATCGATATAAAAAATCAATGTTCCCTATCGATAATTAATTTCATTTTTAATTATTAAAATTTATATATTCAGAAACTATATTAAAATTTCTTCAAAATTGTAAACTCTAAATTAGAACATTATTAAAAATTGGCATCCTAATTAAGTAAATAAAACGAAACTGTTTGACCAAGAAAAATCAAATTTGCAAATCAATTTGGGACGAAGATAGTATTAATTTTCTAACTTTACCACTTTCCCTTTTAATCAATTATTTTGTGATTTCTGTTATTTCTCTCTTCTCTGCACAAATCTCAACCACACAGTTATTACTTTATTATTCTTCATGCCAGTCAACTTTATCAAAATTTTAAGAAACAGGGTAGTATGAATCATGCGTTTAAGAAAAAATTTAAAATATACAAAAATAAACGGAAAAAGATGAGCAATAATTAAGAGAACAATTTGGATCAGTATAAAACAAAGATCTAAACACTAGTCACGGAAAGGGATATCAATTGAAACACATTGTGGAATGAATCACCAGTATTTGGTTGACAGAAATCATTAACAAAATAGGTGCATAAAAACAGTCCATGAAAAAATAATTTTGTATTAAAATTTGTTTTGGTATATGAAACCCTAGTCAAAGGCTTAGAACTAAACCCCCACACTTTAGCACCAAAACAAAGCAGGGGACTGGAAAATGTAGGGCAGCTTCGTGCACTGAAACAGCATAAACAGTTCCAAACCTTGAGACTGCCGCCCCAATCAAAATTAATTGAATTCAATGTAGACCGGGTGAAATTGAGCTTTCGCAGGTGTGATTTCACGCGAGAACCCATTGGATCGGCCATATTCTCTGACCGTAGACAGCAAAAATAATGATAACCATAAATCAATTTTATTCTGTAAAACCTTTCTTGAGAACGAGAGAAACAGTACAGTTTCTGCCGCAGTGCAAGAAAGGTGTCTCGACGTTTTATGTCTGCCCGCAACGGAACTCGAGCGCCATGGAAGTCGAAGACAGAGCTCGCTCGGTTCTCTCAAGGCAATTTGAGTTCTGAAGACCTAGATTAGGCTCAATTTATAAGTGAAAATATGGGCCCAAATCTGTCTATATTTTGTGACCCAATGGGCCTATGTTACTCCATTCACTTTCCTTTCTCCTCAGCTAGTAGGTCATGGCGTCATGCCACTTTGAGTCCACATAAAAGAATATGCAATTTTTTAAAAAATAGTTTTTTATGTTTTTGTTTAATAAGAGATAAAAATGCAATTTTTAAGTTAAAAAATCTAGTTTAGAACTAAACGTCTAAAAGTAGGAAAATTGCTTCTAATTTCTTCTCACTTCTTCTATAAGTTCTATTATGCAAAAAATTACTTTTTCATCGAATACTAATTTTTATTTTATTAAAATCGTTTTTCTTCACAAATTTCATCAACTTTTATTATTGACCACTTTTTATAGTCTCCAAAATAGTGTTGCAAAAAAAATACTAGTACTACGTATATAGTCTCCAAAATAAATCACTACGTAAATGCGCCTCAAGTATAACCTCGTTCAATGATTCAATTATTGTATTTTGACTTACATTTGGATTTTTTCGAAATATTTCCTACAAGAACCACTAATTTTCACCATTTCACGATTTTAATGAAAATTAAAACTACAAGATAAAGATGTGTAGATGTTAGTTGTTACTATTAAATTGAAATTCCGATTATAAGTCATTTATATATTGATAAATTGATTACTTCTTGCACAATCTCTTATATTAAACGAGGTTATCATGAAGGAGCCTTGTTTGTGGATTGTTTTTTTTTTTGAAGAAGTTTGTTAATTGTTAATACGTATTAAGGTTCAGACAAAACATTACTGTTGAGTAATGTAATACGGAGTATTAAGAAGAATCAACATTACTTTAAGTAATTTAAATTATTTCATTGATTTGTGTGTGAAATTAAAATTTTTGCACTATAAATGGACCGGATGAGGGTAAAAAGGAAACACATAAAATGGCATACCGAGTTGTCCATTCCTCCTTGGAAATACATCCCTTTTAGCGTATTATATCAAAACATTTAATTAAAATACATGTAACGGCTACTTCCAAGCACAAATCGTGCCCCCAATGGAGACTCATTCACTATGGGGTATGGACAGAGCAAGTAATTCTGTGTGGCAAGCATGTAGCATTTCTAGTTTTCTACGTTACATAATTCACTGCAGTGTTTGATCCTATGATAAACTTTTGGACAAATGCTCAAACAGTTTTCATTTTAAAAAATGATGTTTTCCTGTGTTGAGTTTCTTGTCTCGTGTTCCTGGAACATCAAAGAGACTCTGGTTCATTGACAAATAGTAAAATTCTATCTGCATATCTTCATCTTTAACACCTACAATTCTTGTCTCAAGGACCCAAACCCTTCTGGTGGCCATACCTGCAGATAAGGTCGCAGGATGGAACTAATATAAGTAACAAAGATGGTTACTTGGCACTTTAGACTCAAAGAAACACTAGATGACTGAAAGAATGAGACAGCTTATTTACTGGTTATATTAGTCAAAGACAATCAGAGTCTTAGCCATAACCAGGTTATTATGATTCAGATATACCCAAAGCAAAATCCAAAGAAAAAATATGAATACGATGCTTCTTTCAAGAACCTGTGTAGCCCTTTGGTAAGGTAAAGTAACACACTGATTGATGTCAAAGTTTTCTGTTAGAGACTCAACAGTCCATGTCTCTATCATTTTCTTTTTCTTTTTTCCTTCTTTTTTTTCTATAAAGGGTTTTGAGTTTTGTTTATCATTTGGGGGTGGCATTTCTAAAGCAGCTTGAACTGTTTAATAGAGATATTCAATCAGAGAGGCATGTCCATATGGTTCATTAGATTAGATAACCACTATGTGGTTTAATTTTTATTTTTGGGAACATTTGAGAGGCGTGGTGAACTGGTGAATAACGAACCTCCGACCTAGCGTATGCAACAGGATAGCAAGGTAGTTTGTATCACCTTGTTGTCTAAAATCAGGACTATGGCTGTTGTATGTTTAGTAAGAACTACAAGAGGGGATTAAGTGTACTACAGTGTACAGCTTGAGGTTCAACTTTTCCTACACCCATATGTGAAACAATTCAAGATATGGAAATTTATCAATCAAACATGGTGTTTATCCAGCAATGAGCATCTATGAGTTCAAGCTGATATTATGTTGGCATTTCCGTGCTTTTGTACTGGTGTAAACTAGAATGGCCAACATTACCTCTCAAAATCAACTAGAAGCGCACATACCTCCTAAAATCTTAAGATAAGAGGATTGTGGTCAATATTTGGCTCACGGTTAGACAAGTACTTTGATCTTGACAAGTTCCATAAACATCACATTGGCTTTGCATCGACCTTGCTCCATTTGACAGTTTTTAAGAGAAAACCAGCAATTTGTTAAAGTTAGAAAATCCAAGAGAAACTGCTGAAGCTTACCAACAAAGATTAATAGCCTGTTTGGCAGGGGTTAGTTTGACTGAGATGACTAAAGTTGCAAAACTTTTGGCTGAAATTTTTTAGGCTGCTGAACTTGATGAGTTATTGAAATTATGCATAATGTTTTGGATCAATTTAGGAAAAAGTTGGAAACTGGGTGAGCGTTTGTCAATATATATACGGAGTAATATTTTCTTGATAAATTCATGAAACATTGGAAACAATATCTTGAAATGAGGGAAGAAGTGTCATTCTCATAAACTTCATCAACTTTTACACTATCGGTGTAGGGTTCAAGTTTCACCTGAGAACTCCCTAATAATATTAGAAAGGTAATGTTAGATTACTTTGCTTGGTTGGAGTTCTAAAATATCCAGAGATTATGTAATGTCAGATCACATCATTTGGTTCAAGTTTTAAGAGTACTTCAGTAATCTTAGATTACCTAATGAAAGATTATCTTGATATTGATGTTATGTTACTATTAAATCACGTATTCTTGCATTTTTCTATTCTAAACAGATTAGTATTATATTTTTACAATCTCAACCAAACACACTAGGTAATCTTACATTCATATAATCTCATATAACCTAGAAAATCTCATTGCCTAGATGTTTTTGTATTCTAAAAATCTCATTACCTTCCATAAGGTAATCATATTACATAATACTACTTATTTTCTTAATTTCCACAAAATACACACTAATGACCATCCAATTCAGCACAAAAACTATTGGTGGCACAAAACTTTCAGTTTGACTGAGCAACACAATTGATAGAAATAAAGAAAAATAAGAATGTATGCAACAACCGAACAGCCTCAAGGGGTATATGAAAAAAAGAAGGAAAAGTACAACTTACTCTAAAAAAGACTTTTCCCAGAATAAGACCATATGGGATTGGCCCAAGTTGCCTTGAATCCCTGGATGCATATATATTATCTCCTTGAATCCAAACATGCCCCTTTGGAACCTGAACATCTCAGCAAATGAGAATCGAAGGATCATATTTCACATGGAAAAATTCAATAAAATATACGTAGTCCGTAGTACAAGTGTACAACACACCTTTAAGGCTTTAACTGCTAACATTCACCAGTAATACTACGTAATAAAAAAACTAAAGAACTACGATTCATGATAGGAAAACACCTAGGAAAATTGAAAAATACATAAAAGCACAGACCTTTACAGTGACAGAGCCGTCACTGAGGCCAGGTTCGGATAGGAAAGTGACGAAATCGTTCTCCATGCCCATAACCCGCTTGGTAATAATCTTTCTAGGGTCATCAGTTGCTCGAACTAGGACGACGTCACCAGGACCCACCTTCCCCAGCAACGGAGACACGTGTTCGACCAGCAGCACATCCCCTGTTATGTTCAGCGTCGGGAGCATGCTCGGACCGTAGACCTAGTGGATGAAGTTCCCAATCAATTGAACGGGACAAAAAAGAAGAAACCCTAGAATCAATGGGGGTGAAAAGGAGAAGAGATTTTGGGAGCGTACCATGAGAGGAGAGCAGACGTATCGGTCGGCGACGTCCAGTAGGCAGAGGAACTTGACAAAGAGGAATGAGTGCTGGAATCCTTCCTTGGCCTTTGATCTCCATTGGTTAACATTGATTTGCTGAAGAAATCTGCTTATCATAGTCTTCAATTTCTCGGAAGTATGTTCACCGCCGCCGGGACGCCCAATTTGGTAAAAAAACTAACCACCCGTTACCTGATTCAGAGGTACCTAAGCCGGTCTTTTCTTATTTCGTCACCTAACGTTACCCATATAAAATGAGTTAGACTCATTTATGAACACACAATCAGGGGTGAGGTAAAAATGGGGTACAACTTTGGGATACCTTTAGCATTTTACTATCTGAAAAGAGAATCATTATCATTTTCATAAACAAAAATGACCCCAATCCTACCCCAATTTGTACTCCATATAAAAGCCTTCTTATTTTTACCATTTTTTTACCCATTCAAACATCTCTCATCCCACACCCTCTCTTTCTTTCTCCCATCCGTCCCTTGCTATTCTCTCACCCCATTCCCATTTTTTCTCCTCTTTTCATTTCAAGAGCTCTCATCTCCATTTTTGAAGGTTTCAAGATCTCCCCATCTAGTTGTCTCTAAGGTAACCATCCCTTCTCAAATAATGAGTTACGTACTCTATTTTTCGTTTTTTCCAACGCCTCAATCATTCCCCTCTCCTCAACTCTCGCCGATCCGAAATCCTCCATAAATCAAAGCACGGCCCGACGCCTCAGATCTCTGGCGGTAGAGGCCGGGGGAAGCCCCATCCGTCATGTGAGGCACTGTTTCGTCATTTTGCTATTTTTTCCTCATTTTTGGTATTTTTTTCGTCCAACTCCACAAGAAAAAGGGTTGTCTGTCTGACAGACAAATTTGAAGTGCAGTGTCTGTCTAGCTGAGCATGGTTTCATAATTGATAGAGTCTTACATAAGATGTCTGTCTGGACAGACAAATTTATTTGTTTGAGTACATAGAACAACTTTATGTATGCACATCTTCTTATTTTACAAATGCATTTTATATTACCTGTGATGACTTTTGTGATGTCTCTCTTCGGATGTTGAAAATTGGTTTGTAGTTGTCTGTGAAGTGAAAAGAGTTGTCTGGCATTCCATTTGATTTGTCTGTAATGTGAAATGAATTTTTTAAAATTAATTTGTAGTTGTCTATATGAAAAGCGTTGTCTGGCATTCCATTTGAGTTGTATGTAATGTGAAAATAGTCTGTCTGTCTACATATGTATTGCAATAAATTGTCTGTAATGTGATATAAAATGTCTGGCATTTATTCTGAGTTGTCTGTCTACAGGTCGGGAGAATGTGGAGTGATGGTGGCTTCCTTTGCAGAGCAGTTGTTAATGGGAAAGTCATTGATTCCAGGTTGCGAGTATGCAAACATGTGGAACAAGGTGGAGGAAGCATAGGAATTGTTATTGATGTGGAAATGTATTTTTGTGGGTTTTTTGATGAGTTTAGTAAAACTGTATTTTATAGTACATTTTGATGAGTTTAATAATTGTTAATGTGGTTATATAAAAGTGTTCGGAGATATGATTGTATTTGTTAATGTACAAATGAATTTGGTGAAAACCAAACATGTATAATATTGTCTGTGTTGGTATGGAGTTCCCCAGTAAAGAAGCAATTTAAATAAGTCTAAATAGACTATTATATGTGAAATACAACCATTGAATAGACAAACAACACAAATAACCAGACAGACATTACTTTCACGTAGAAAGACAATAACTTTACACATACAGACAATACCGTAGATACCCAGACAAACAAAAGATGTGGATAATTGTAAATGTAATATTTGTAAAAACTTACACATGTTCAAAAAAATGAATCCAATTGTTCGACATTGAACATGTAACATTATACAATATTCAACACATTTTCCCAACTGTAATATGAAAAAAATACATGTTCAAAAAATCACAAGTTCAAAACGGGCACATTTCCCCAACACTATATACTTCAGCATCCTTGCATTTGTTTCTCCATTGCAAAAGAAGTCACACACGTTATCATTTTTGTAAATGAATTAGCATCCGCTTGGAACTCTTTTTCAGCCTTACATTTTAAGTCATTTGTCATCTTGAAGTGAATACCTACAATTAATACACAACACGTAGTCAGAACACATATTTGGTACAAATAGCATATGTGAGGCATAGTCAATTTGTCTGGAAGAGACAACTATTGTCTGGCACAACCAACTTTTGTCTGGCTATGAGACAGAGAGTAGTTAATTGGCCCAGACTACTAATATCTGACCCAGACAAAATTTGTCTGGCTGTAAGATAGAGAGTAGTTAAATGGCCCAGACTACTAATGTCTGGCTCAGACAAAATTTGTCTGGGTGTAATACAAAGAGTAGTTAATTGGCTCAGACTACTAATGTCTGACCCAGACAAAATTTGTCTGGCTGTAAGACAGAGAGTAGTTAATTGGTTCAGATTTTAAGACAAAATCGCGTTCACTTTGGGCTAGACAGACACTACAATTCTAAATTGTCTGTCCGCCAAACAAAATACAAACAAATGACAAAAAAACAACATACTCTACTCCAAGTCTTCAACGTCCACACCTTCATCATCTTCTTCCCTTGAGGTACAAAAAATGGAAAAAAAATCTTGAATTTCAACAAAAAAATCATTGAGTAATTTCTACAAACATGTTATGGGCATAAAATGAACTAGAGAAATTACGCTAAAATCTTAATTAATTAACACCTCTAAATGATTACAATGAAACAAACTAATCAATTATTCACTTTTATATCATACATTCATACATAATATACATAAAATCGAAAAAAAGGAAATAAAATAAAATAAAAAACGCACATGAGGAAAAAACGGAAAATAGAGTACGTACCTCATTATTTGAGAAGGGATGGTTACCTTAGAGACAACTAGATGGGGAGATCTTGAAACCTTCAAAATGGAGATGAGACCTCTTGAAATGAAAAGAGGAGAAAAAATGGGAATGGGGGTGAGAGAATAGCAAGGGACGGATGGGAGAAAGAAAGAGAGGGTGTGGGATGAGAGATGTTTGAAGGGGTAAGAAAATGGTAAAAATAGGAAGGCTTTTATATGGGGTACAAATTGAGGTAGGATTGGGGTACCTATAGCATTTTTGTTTCATAAAAAATACTCCTTTTACAAATATCCTAATTTTTATGTACTTTTTTTATTTAGCATAAGATTTGAAAAATAGATATAAAACCCTTTTTAAATAAGTATGTGTGTAGATTGAATTACAATTTTCATTTTAGAATAGAGGAAGTATTACTTTAAAATTCAATAGAAAGGCTATAGATTGAAATTGAATAGGTAAATATAGATTGTATGTAGCATTATCTATTTATATAATATAATAAAGCAAATCCTTCAATAACTCTTTGAAAGAGTAATTGACACGTGACAACATTATTTGTATGAAAACATGATATGTGCCAACACAATAAATTAAAGAAAAAACTATTCAACTTTCAAAACTTTCACTCTTATGTATCCAAATATTATACACACACACACACACACACACACACATATATATATATATATATATATATATATATATCTATATAGGATGTGGTTCCGGTGAGAAAGGAGCTCTAGGAGAGAAATGAGAATAAAATCTAGTCATCTAATTTATGAAATCAATGGTGGAGAATGAATATATATATATATATATATATATATATATATATATATATATATATATATATATATATATATATATATGAAAGTAGTAATTTAGTAATTAAATGAAACTTTCCAGGGCAATTTTTACTTAAAAACTAACGTAATCAATGATGAGGACATGTATGTAAATTTTGTATACCTCCTTTTACGCCATTTCTTTCCAAAAAGTGATTGATCATTAATGCCATATACCAAAATAAATAAATATTAACTGTTTGCCACTAATAGATTTCCATATTTTTTTAGATACACATGTCTTACGTAATTGGTAATTCAATTTAAATATTTACATCATTAAAGTGATACAAAGTGCACCATATTCTTGGTAAAGTGCACTAGTAGAAACTAGAAAATACTCCGTATGTCAGTTTATTTGCTATTCATTCCATGTAATTGAATTTTACATATTATTCTTAAAATTCACTATTACTCCTTATTAAAGACCAATTTATGCACCTTATTACAATTCATGATGCACTCATATGTGCTAGTTGTTCACTTTTGTCGTAGATTATAACTTAAATTATACTACGTAAAAACGGGAACATGAGATTATTATTTTTGTTCGACTAGAAGTGCACTTATATAGTAAAAATAGAAATGTACTTTTGTTTTATCGTAATTGCACTTTAAGGTATTAATCATGCAAACCCCATGAATAACGTAGAGGTGCAATGTGTATGACCATATACGTGCACTTATATAGTAAAAATAGAAATGCATCTTTGTTTTATCGTAATTGCACTTTAAGGTATTAATAATGCAAACCCCATGAATAACGTAGAGGTGCAATGTGTATGACCATATAAGTGCATCAAGTAACCTTAACGTGCACTTTTGTAAATAACAATTTTATCTCATTAACATGCACTTTTTATCTCATTAACATGCACATTTTATCTCGTCAAACTGCATTTTCTATGTTAGTGTTTATTTAGCAATTAATCTCATACACTTGTGCACAACGATCATACAAACATGAAATACACAAATACAGAAGCATGGCTTGAAATAATGGTAAAAGTGTGATTGTTTACATGGTAAAGCTCTGATTGTTTATATAGAAAAATAAAATGTAAAACATCTACATAAAATATGCATTCACACGAATAATTGACTTGTGCTATCATCATAAGCTATTACACAGATGATGAGCTCATGACGAAATATCAATGAAGTGCTAGCCAATCTTGTTGTTGATAGTGGATCAAAAAATGATGATTCAGATTAAGATACTGCAATGGATCTTCAGAGACAACCACACAATATCATTAATTTGTTAGTTGATCTGATATCGGATTTCCAGAGCTCATTTGTACAATTCTGGTCCGGGTTTTGCAGGTAGAAGTAGGTAACAGGTTGTGGTAGGAATAAAAGTTGCAACGCAAGAAGAAGATTGAAGAGAGCTGATTTCTCATTCTCCGACTATTGCACCATAAGCACATGATTTATTTAAGAAAATAAATTCATCTTTCTAGAATGGAAGGAAAG